ACATTAAACGAGCCCTCGAGACACACGACTGATCCATCTGTTCCTGATCACTGGTGAAACTGCGCCCGTGTGTGAAAGTCGCACGTTGCAGCGAAGAGAAACGCCGTCCTGTGTGGAAACCAACTTGGGCAGGATGATGAACACTGCTAATAATAAACAGGACAGGATGCAAGCAGAACATCCTGACCAGAGCCAAGTATGTCACAGGARACAGGAAAATAAATCACCCAGAGAATAAAATATTTTAGCTAATTTTATCTAATAACAACCAAGAAATACTCCCAAATAAAACAACTGTGTAATACTGGAAATTATTATAGGTCGTAGCACACTGCAAGGTGAATGGTTAATGCCCAGCAATACTCACTTCTAAGAAGATTCTGTGCTAGAGTCCAGGCAACCCAAAATACAGTAACAAATACAACTTAGGGGTAGGTCTACACTGCAGTCATTTCATCCAGACAGTCCAGCAACAGTATTGTCACCCCAGATAACTTAAAACTGTGACCTAATTAGGCAGGATGTGGCAGATACTTGTTATATCAGCAAAGCCAAATCCCAGCAAACCAGTGCTATGCAACTTTTCTGTGCCTCTTGCACAAAAGGCACTCACTAGAACTGCTCTCCAGTTACACAGAGGCAGGAAATAAAAGCAATTAAAAGTGATATATAATCTGTGCAACTAGGAACATAACAAAGAATATATGTGAGAATTTTACATACAAAAGGACATACTGGGAGCAGGTAAGCTGTTGGAGATGTAAAGAAAACACATGTACTGAGTGGAAGCAAAGGTTCAGCCACAAGCCATATCTTCATATTYCAGCATCATTTTCAGAAATGTAGAACCCCAACAGGTAAAATTGATCGATAACATGTTTTCAAAGATGATGTTACAATTGCTTACCTTGAACCAGTCTCTCAGACTGAACCAGTGCTTACAGAGAACCAGATGAAAGGCAAGCAAAGAAATGAAAATCCATTATATGGATGATAGAGGTGCATTTTTAAATGTGTTTAAAAGGTGGGTGTTTTAACAACTTGAAAGAAAAGCTTTCAGTGTTCTGCAAACAAAATCTTTTTCCTGTTTTCCAAAAACAAAGTTATCCACAAAGAAACAGTAAATATTTCACAGGTGTAAAAATATAAATAGAACCAACCTCACGGACAATYTATAATTTTTCTTTAATTGCACAGTGTAAACCAAGCCTTTACTTTGAACACTCTAAATCCACACCACAATTCTGTAGCATATAAGAATATTTTTAACCATAACCACATCTGTAGGAGAAAAAAAAAAAAAGAGAGGAGTGAAATAACTTTTCAGGTCAACCAGGGACTGAGATTAAAATCTCCAACCAGAGGTATCGACTCCTTTATGGAGGGAAACATRAGCACAGATCAGTTACAATGGCCTGACAAAGGCAGCACTATAGAAATTCTAGGTGCTTCAACATATAAGGCAGGTAACTATACACTTGAGAACAAATGCWGTGCAGTCCCAGCAGCTGCCTGTGAGTTAAATACCCGCTTCTGGGGCAGATATTTCACTTTGCCCAAAGTTATCAAACAGCTACTGACACACAGCGGTAAGCCAGAGAATGACACTTTTGTTCTTGATGTACACTGAATTGCATCAAAACACACACTTAATTTAAGTCAGACCTACCTACCCTTACGGCCCYAGCTGCTCTGGCCAGCTGTGTGCCTAACACAGGGTCTCTACGCAAGTCCAAGGACTGTGTGGTTCCAAGGACAGATAACAACTCCTACATTTCTTCTCATAGGAATGGAAATACTGTTCACAACCTGAAGGCTTGAAGATACAAAAATAGAACATTCTCTTTTCAAACTGAACTAGAATTTCTAATGACAGAGATGTTTTATGCTGAAAAAAGGAAAATWGCGACACTCAAACTATTATTACAGTGCCATGGTAAGCAAGGAAAAGCATCGTGACCAAGCTAATGCGCCATGCCTTTGGGACACTTGAGAATTTAATGTGTAAAAGCTCCTTCCAGTCCAGAAAACACTTCTTTCTGGAATAAATGAATCAGATTGGAGTGGGCAGGGGGGACATCCTCCTCYGCCTACAAAACCATGGCTTCTGCACACAGAACTTCTTGGTTTTGCARGGCAGGCTAAACCACAGCAACCTCAGTCCGTTTCACCATTTTCTCTCTAGGATACATTAGAAGACTTAAATCAGTCACACAAAACGCAGTTTCCTCAAGAAAGTGAGGCACTGTGTCAGCTGTATGGTGAAACAACATGCTTTAGAGCAGCTTTGCAGATCAACCACTTGGCTTAACTGATTGCCAAGGACTCCCACTGCACACTCATCTCCAAGTGRGACACGGCTTCTCGCGACATCTTGTGGCAGTGTCACAAGCTGACAAGGTTTCTGCTCTATTTTTCATAAAAAACAATCAAAGCTCTTGAAAAACAGTGATATTCCAGATACTCAAACACACAAGAAAACACCAGTTTGTAATCAAACAGTAACGATCAAACTAGCAACTTCTTTTTGTACTTAAAGACATTATTCATCCTGCAAATGTACAAATACATTTGAAATATAAATGTCTTTGTGCAGCTCAGCTATGGCATCCTGACTCAACCCCTTACACAACCTTTGGCACAGCAGTAGATGTTCACACCAGGGCAGACCTCCTTGAAAGAGAACAAATTAAAACGTRACCAGTAGAGAGCACAAGAGAGCAATCACAAAGCCCTTGGGAGGCCAAGAAACTTTCAGTGAGAACTAATGCTCTTACACAGTCAAGGAAGTGTTTTAAAAAGCATCCGTCTCCTGTAGGACTCTAGAAGTAATAAAATCCTAGAGCAAGAATAACTTGTATTTGGCCTTTATATGTGCAAATATCTATATGTCTTTCAGGTTGTGCACTCTTAGGTTACCGCTTTGACCAAATTTAATCACAGCACAAGTAGCAATAAGCAGCCAAGACCCTTCAGTCTGCAGAGGGATTCATGTGCTGAGCCATGGAGCAATGGAGTTCCTCCTAACTCACAAACTCATTACTACTTTACATACCTGCATGGCAATTCCTTGCATGTCTCCCCAGGATGAGGTTTCTGGTAGTGCTCAGAGTCTCTGCTGAGTCCCAAAAGATCCATTACAATCCAGAATGCAGTCTAGGAAGCAAAGATCCTTAGCAGCAGCATCCCAAAACATGCTGCAGCAAAAAAAGAGCTAGGATGCAAGCGTAACAGGTACAAACACAACAAAAGCCAGYGTCACCAGCCTCCATCACTTTCTACTTGCAGAGAGGTGAAAGGCRAGGAGTTCCCCACACTTGGAAGAATTTATAATAGCAAGGACTTTTTTATTCCTCTTTTTACACCCTTCCAGGGTGGTGTAGCAATTATAATGTTGTATGAGGCTGAAAACAAGTCAGGAGTGATTCTGAAGACACCTCAACCCATCTAACAACTGGCTTCTGTAGTAAAGGCAGTTACAACCTACCCTTTCATCTCCTTTACATTCCAGTCTGCACAGACCAGCTGCCATTTGGGGTAAYAGATGACACAGAGATTACAGAGAAGGAAACTCCAGAGCATCTATCTCTGAGCGACTTCAGGCAACATAATCATTACACTTTTTTCCACATAGACTACATGGAATAATCAGGCTCTGTGTTAAGAGATGYTAGACTACTGGCTAGCTTAGAAGTTGCTTGTCAAGCAATTACTATCTCTAATGGSGATCTTGAACCTAAGAGGGTAAGTTCACGGAGACAGCCCCAGSAAAGTGGCTGCCAGTATGTAATTACATAACTCATCTGTCTCAATTACACTTGCAGAATAAATGCAAAGGGGAATGCGGCCTTTCGATGCTTGCAGAGATTACTTTCAAGATTTATCCCTAGAGCCCAGTTTGTTACAGTTTTCTCAAGGGACTTACCTCACACCACTGGTCAGAGCATTTAACCTTTACCTTTAAAGGCAGCATCACCCAGAACYGAACTGCTGGATATCAGCTGTAGCCCAACCACCTGCTTTATTCAACACAGGTTACACACAAAGGAGGTCACCTCACCAAGGTAACATTGCTCTTTTGCAGTCTTTGTAGTACTTGCATAATTGCTTTAGGAGATAGGTTAATTATTTTTAAAATTAGTTCCATGACTTAATCTCAGGAGAGTATGGCACCAGTAAGCTGCCTCATTTCTAAAGTTCCAGGGATAGATTTGTAAACCAATTCGTTCTCTGTTWAAGTCATTTCTAATGACAGTCGACTTGTCTTTGCTAAGTATGCTGAGTGTGAACAGCCAAACACCGACCAAAAAAAAAAGAAAAAAAAGTAGAAAAACTTATCAACAACTCCACTGGAAAGATATCATTTAATTTGAGGATGACTGTCTTGCAGCATTCATAATGAAAAATAACTTTAAATCTCTTGGCTGTAACAAAGTCCACCTAGAAAATCACTTGCCACATATCASGGGACTTCTATATCAGCTTAAATACTACTAACTAATTCAATTTCTGTTCTGTAAGGTGGAAGTAACAAAAGGACAAGCATTATGCAAACACCTTGCAAGGTGTTTCAAGACTGAAAATCTGGTCAAAGCAAAGGAGTATTGCTCCACTCTCCAAACTAAAGGGATATGGTCAAAAATTTGACTACAGCTTTTTGCTCTCAACAATTCCATTAAAACAAAGCTGAAACCCATCCATTTTACTGTTGCAACTTTATTTGAAAGCCACTTAAGWGTTTTTGAGAACAGGCAGTTTTGTATACAAAATCTGATAAAATGAAAAATAAACTTCACAGGTTTCCTAGAGCAAATTACAGACTGTAAACTCATCATCAAATGCACTGTGCAAGAAAAAAACAAAAATGACTTTGTCAAAAGTCTTGTTTGCAAACCASAATCAGGTGATCTAATTTTACTCTACATCTTTGTGACAAAGGCACAAAAAACCTCAACRTAAGTGAAGTCTTTTTGCAAATATTTTATCTTATGGCATTTCCAACTTAAAGTAACAATTGTGACAAGTCATATGCATTAAATGCATCAATATTTCAAAAACATCCCCAATGAGGAAAGATCAAGTTTTATATACCTGATATTTTAAGAAGAAACAAACAATAAAATATTTGGAAAAACTTAGTGGATTGCAGTTTCAAAAACTCAGAATTCCATACAAACAAACCTATAGCAGTTCCATTCCAACTCTATCTTCCAGCAAGCCTAATTCACAGATGTTATGAGAACAGATTATTTTTCCTATGTCGGCTGTACAACAGAATCCAATTACTGATAGTGGTAAAAGGATCCACAGAGGGTGGAAAAAAAGAAAAAAGTCCTGCAATTATTTTATAATTCTCACCACATGCTCAGTAGGAAGTAAGGTTCTCAAAAAAGACTTTTTTCCTTTTATTATTTTACCTTCACCTACAATCAGGTTCCTTTCAATTGTAAAAATCTCTTTTGAGAACTGTTCCCTCTGTTTTATATACAGAGTTCCTCAAACACTCCATTTTCAGGGGTAACTGTAGAAGTTGGCTCTACATCACCTTTGTGGCTACATAGAAGATATCGTTCCTCAAATATAAGGGCTGTAGGGAGCTACCAGACTAGTACTGTAACTTATAAATATCCTGTCCTTTATATTCCACAAAGTCAAATGGATCAACAATATCGTGCAATCCCATTTTACTCTGTAGAAAACTTTAAGGATCTGTTTTCTGCTATCTGCTACAGTTGCTTCTTACTTTATGGTTCCTGGGCTCATTCTGTTCCACAGCTTGCCTTGTTGTGACCTTCAGGTATATGTACTAGCTCCACTGAGAAACTGCATCAGTTGACATGGCTGCTCTAATCCTCTAACCTTAAGAAAATCTGCAGCTTTAAGTTTTCCCTAGAATTTGCTCTTCTATCCCCTTCAGGCTCCTTAAATATTCCTTTTATCTCTGAATCATACAGAAATTCCTCTGTACCCTGTGACACTAATGTAAACAAAATCCAGTGATAGAATGATCAAGTTTTCACCAGTGGAAGAAAGCACCATAGTGTTAWATCTTGGTTCTATTTTCAAGAGTTACAGCAGTGGTTAGAAACCAGAGTCTTGTGCATACCAATGCTTAAAACCCTGCCCAAGYCCTCTTTATTAATGCACTTCTCCAATGCTTTGGATCCTCATATTGTAACTAGGCTTTAAAACGGAAGAGATATTGAACACACTAAGTGACCACAGCGACACTGACAGGAGTTTCTGTGAATTGCTAGTTGCCTAAATTTGTGTGCAACAGACCTATTTCATGGCTCATGACATTTACAGTGCAGCTTTAGTTCTCCTGTGAGGCCGAGGAGTCATTCAGCATTTACTGGCATTGAACAGTTTTGCCATAGCCGCCTCTTCCCGCATCATAGTCTTGCCGATACTCATCCCGGACCTTACAAAGGAGGGGGGAGAAAAAACAAGAAATGTCCCGTAAAGACATCAAGAAAAGCAATCCAGAGAATAACAGACAAAAGAGAAAAGGCAYCATGCAGCATCCTAGCATACTATACAAAGCTAACTTGTGTTTTAAAGGGCCCCAAAGGAATTTTTACCAACACAGATGATGGAACAGGAAGAGCCCCACGCTACAGCACTGAAAGCAACTGTTCCCTGCTCAGCTGCAGGCAAGTTAAGCGATAGCTCTGTGTTCATGACAGCCTTGTATTTTCTGGGATTACTTATAAGCATTACCTCACCAAGCAGCAAACACTATTTCTGAAAACAGCCTGAGCGGGAGGAGAAAGCATGGAAAGGAAAAGATCAGCTCTTGTTTTTCCACAGATAACATCATAATTAATTAGAGCTCTTAGAAGCTTATACTGCTAACTTTAACAGTAAGTCTTAAGCTGCTGTTTCCTAAGGTGTTTTGAGTTTGTTCGCTCAAAAGCTAGGTTTGCAACAGTCATCACTGTCTTAAGAACTAAGGCCGTTCAGTACCTACCTGGCCCCCTGATCTTCCACGACCGTACTGTCGACCCTCCTTAAATCCTGCATCCCAGTCTGTCCTTATGATCCTGTCATCAAGTCTGGTTCCATTGATGTACCGCATGGCGTTTTCAGCATCTCCTCTTGCATAGTACCTTAGACGTACGTTAACGAAAACAACTAGCCTTCCTAGCCTTCTGTTTTCAATATATGAAGAGAAAGTTCATACTCCATGCTTTTGAAAAGCAAGTTATTGCTTGAATAAAGTTCTTGCTCGCTTTTAACAGCATTTGTTTTTTTAAAGATACAGGGCTTGGAAAAAAAAAGTTAACAAGTAACTTGCACGTATCCAAGCATATTAGAAGTGCAGGTCTTATACAGTTTTTTGCGTCACACTGACCTCTAATAGCATGAAAATCTATGATCAAAGAAGGAACAGGAAGCTCTGGGTACTCCAGTTAGGGTCTCCTTTTGCCACTCCACTAAGCTCACTTGGCAAAATGACTTTCAAGAAGACATACACACTACGAAGTTGCAATGAGGACCTTCACAGGTCTGCAGAATAACACACAGAAGCTTTTCACAGGTGTTTCCACAAAGAGCTGCTAAGCGAGGCACTTAGAATATGCCTTTGCTGTGGATACCACATAGATATGTGCCTGGCTCACACTACTGGAGTGGAAGGAACTTTCTAGAAGGAGCCCCTCCACGTGGCAGCCCGTGCTCTCCCTTCCCTCCCAGGCTGCCCACAGGCCTCTCCATGACCGGGCACTGCACCCTGGAGGAGGCTCCCCTGCCGTGCGGCCCACAGCCCCGCTCAGCCCGCTCCGTGCAAGGATACTCCACGAAGCAGAAGCCGCAGGCGGTTTTCTTCACCTTGTCCAGGCCCATGATGATCTTCTTCACGTCGCCGCTCTTGCCGAACAGCTCGTGGATCTGCTCCTCCGTGGTGTAGAACGACAGATTGCCCACGTACAGCGTGCAGCTCTTGCGCAGCAGCCGCTCCTGCTCGTAGCGCGTGCCCTGCGCGCCAACACCGACGGCTCCGGCACCCGCAACGGCCGCGCCAACGGCCGCAACGGCTGTAACGGCCGCGCCGCCACCCCCGCCCCGCTCACCCGGAAGTGCTGGTCCCGGTACTGGCTGAGATCCGCATACGAGTCGCTGCGCAGGATGCTCAGGGTCCCCCCCGAGCACATCTTCCTCTTCCTCTCCCTCCTCTTCCTCCGCTTCTCCTCGCTGCCGCCGCCGCCGCCCCGCTGCTGGCGGCGCCCACCAGTGACGTCACCGGCGCGCTCCGATCTCGCTGGAGCTGAGCGGGCGCAGCCGCTGTGTCTCGCGAGAGATAAGGCGGGGCGGCGAATGAGTCTCGCGAGAGGCGGGCAAGTCTCGCGAGAGGCGGGCGGCGCGCGGGAGGATGGTGCTGCGGCGGGTGCTGTGGGCGCTGCTGAGCGACGCGCGGCTCGTGGAGAAGCTCTCGGAGTCGCGGCCCGTGCGCGCCGCCGCCCGCCTCACCGCCGCCGCCATCGTGCGCGCCCAGCTCGGCGGCCGCCGCGCCGCGCGGGACCTGCTGGGCGGCGAGGGCCTGTCCCGCCGCCTGAGCCGCCTGCGCGACACCTTCCGCCGGGAGCTGGAGGAGGGCGCCCGCCGGCGGGGCTGGCCGCGGCCCCCCGGCAGCGGGCCCGGCCGCCCCGGCGCCGAGCGGTGAGGCCGCAGGGCGGGAGGAGGCGGCGCCCGGGCCTCAGCTCACATCGCATCGGCCGGAGAGCCCGGCGAGGCCCGCGCTGGGAGGAGAGCGGCGACCTTGGGACGGGCCGAGGCCCGACAGCCCAGCGGCACCCGCCGCAGCGCGCCGTGAGGTACCCGTCCCGCCACCACCCCCGCGAGCCCCGCGCCGAGCATGGAGAGGCGAAGCTGCTTTCCAGCATGACGGATTTTCATTTCACAAGCGGTTTACACTGCCACGATACGCGGTAACAGACAGAAAGTACATCTACACACCGCACTGAGAACCGGCCATTGACACTTGAWGTGCATGATTAAAGGACCGAAAATAAAAACAGTTCCTCATGGGCGTTGCCTTCAGAGTCGCTCTCTGTACAACGGTAATATGCTGCTTTTATGTTGCAGTCTTCACACCAAGGGAGCTTTAAGAACGTTGATGAGGTTGCTGGTGGTGGATAGGATAACAGTTCAATTGACAGGTAGGTGAAGAAAAACCAGAAACGCAGTAGCTGTCCTAAAGGCACATCTTAGGTCAATGGTGGCAAAGAAGGTTTGCAAAGATACTGCAGTGGTAAAACAGACCTAAAAAAATGCTTTTCAGAGGAAAAAAAAATCAGCCATCCTGACTAAATATGTGGAAAAAAAATGCATTCCTCTTGKGTGATGCAGTGGGCTGGTTTAATTCTGCTGCTGTAGCCAACAAGATAATTGAGGCCAACACTGTTAGCATTTCCTCAGAGGATGKCTGGATGCTTAGATAATTGAGCTTAGATAACTGAGGATGCTTAGGTAACTTTATGTCACATAAGGTAAAAAGCACATCACAAATTACTAAAGATATAGGCTCCAGAACTCAGTGTGAAATTCCTACCCATAAAGCCTTGACTGCAAAGAATGAAGAGAAAAAAAAAAGAGAATGTTTAGTGCAAGTGATACAGATCTATCTGGTGAGTCAGGAGTGGTGTGTTTTAGGTCTGAAATTGCGTTTGAAGGCCAGGTTGGACCCACAGATTACCTGCAATGGCATAGAAGTCATCATGCCATAGGAATGATTCTGCACCAAGTTTCTGAAATTTCCAAATCCAGCCCTCATAACTGCCAGAGACTATGAGGTTCATGGAAGCAATTTCCCATGCAGACAGGCAGAGGAAAGTTTTTGACAGGTGGAAGTCCAAAGTCCTGCACCTAGGGAGAAATAACCCCAKAGGCTAGCACAGAATGGGGGCTCACCTGCCAGAAGATGACATTGCAGAGAAGCTCCTGGGGACAAGAAGTTGACCACGAACCAGCAACGTGCCGCGGTGGCCACGATGGCTGATAGCAGCAGGAAGAGGCCAAGGGAGGAGACCCGCCGCCTCCATGCTAGTGAGATGCAGGGTGCTGTCTCCCTCACTGGAGCCTAGCACTGGACACATCCTGGAGCAAGTCCAGCAAAGGACAACTAAGGATTAAGGGACTAGAGGCCTTGTCATATGAGGAAGGGCTGATAGAGCGAGGRTCATTTAGGCTCTGTAGGAAGGGATCAAGGAAATAATCTTCTTGCTATTTATAAATATCTGAGGGGGGAGGTATAAAGATGGCCCAGACTCTCCTCAGGGGTGCCCAGTGACTGGATGAGAGGCAACAAGCACAAACTAAAACCAGGAAAATCCATCTGAATCCAAGGAAAACTTAAACTTTGAGGGTGACTGAGCAGTGGAGCAGCTCATCCATAGAGGCTGTGAGGTCTCCATCCTTAGAGATGCTCCAGAGTCTTCTGGACACAGTCCTAGGCAACCTGTTCTAGATAACCCTGCCTGAGGCTCCCTCCTTGGGACTGGACTAGATGATCCCCAAAGGTCCCTTCCAGCCTCACTGATTCTGATTTTTGTAGTCAAAAATATAAAAAGATCAAATCCTCTACGTTTTCTGTCTGCTTAGCTCATTAACCCAGCTCGCTKCAAGGACACACGTGCACCATTGCTGATGGCAGGGCTATGAAAAGCAGAGAGCAGTGCATGGTGGAGTGTGAAAGGGAGGCACTGCTCCATCTGCAGCAGCTGCAGCACAGGTCTCCTACTCTGAACCAGCAGCCTCAGCTTGCAATGCATGATACTGGTGTCCACAAGAAGGGAACTGGAGCAATGAACATTCACCAGGCAAAAAAGCTTTTCAGATTTAAGAATTTATCACAAGTGCCTATGCTAAAGTTTATTCCATTCCAAATCAAATTCTATTAGATTAACACCAGGGACTTTCTTGAAAAGGGCCACCCAAGGGTCGCATCAGACAATACTTCAGTACTGCTGGTACATTGTGACTGCAGTCACTAACAACTGAGAGAGGCTCTAATTTTTTTAAGAGCCTAAAAGTACAACACTTTGGGTTAGAGCAACTTCCATCTCGTTTGGAGTCCTCTCTTCAGCAGCTTAGTCAATGCAAATTTTCAACAAAAACACAACCATAAACCCTCTAGCAGAGAATTTAAGATATACAAAAGTACAGTTGCATGGAGAGAACTGAGCTCAAAGCAATGTTTTGGTGAGTTCTGACTTCCTCTTTCATTAGGAAAGCTACACAAATTCATAAGATTTCACAAGAACTGAGTGACCCTCAGATTTTAAGCAGGTTCCACCCAGAACTGACAACACTGATGAATATTAAGAGCAAGAAGAAAAGGAATAAAGACAATAAGGGGAGCTCACAACRTGAGCGTGGGTTTGTGAAGAGAAAGATCTCATAGCACTTTTGGACAGAGCCAAAGTGAAGCAAAAAGCTAGAATGTAGTTCTCTCTTGAAGTCTAGAGATTCTGTTGAGCTCTGTCTAGTTGGAAGATGTACAGTCCTAACTGGCTTCTCCAATTTTCACTAAATAGAAAGGATAGTTGGGGAGGATCTTCCATGGATAAGTGTGGAAATATTAAAGTCTCATTCTTGAATGAGACACCACATTTTGTAATTGTGGATCTGACTGTACCGGGGATTATAACAAAAAAATGGCAATCACTGCAGGTAAAATTGTTGGCTCGCAGTCCTACTGTTTGGCAGAGAGTTTCTTCCTCAGACCCAGCCAGATCAATTACTTCTATATTTGTATCTCCCTTCTTGATATTGAGCAGAGACCTCGGAGGCATGTAGGTGTGTGCAAAGAGGAGAATATAGTGTCCTGGATGGTTTGAGGAATCTGGAGAATGCATGAGCTGCTCCAGGTGAAACAAGCATGGGATGAGTCCTCCCTGGTGTAAGCACCCAAACAGCAGAGCCCCAAGAACATTGAAAACAACAATGACAGGTTTCCACCTCACCGCTCTGTTCTGTGATGCGCTGAACAGGACTAATGGTAAGATGAGAGGAAGGAGAAATCGAGGTTCTTGGTGACTGAAGAGGGAGAGAAATGCCAAAGGAAAGAAGTAAAACAACAACAACATTGAGTTTCCATCAGAATGCACCAATATCCTAGATGACCCATGGTAATAGGACTTGACCTGTGGTAATATGTAGATATATTTCTTTAACATCTTAAAACCAGCACCAATGGCCAGAATATGGAGGATCCCAAAGAGCATTATCCCATTGACCACAAAATGTGTAACTCGTGGGTGATTTCCATGTTGTGCAAGATTACAAGGATTAAGATTATAGCGGAGAAAATTTAGAGGGGTCACTATTATTTTCTGACTTAACTGAGCTATTATATCAAATAGACTTTTATTTTCAAACCCATAGATGTTGTCTAATCTCATGGAGGTAAAATACCAAGTGTCAGCCATTATGAAAAAGGCAGCAGTAAAGCAAGCACACGGGACTAGCTTCAGGAAGCAGTTTATGCTAGTTCTAAGGCTCCTCGGAGAGTCAGTATTTAAAGCCACCCAGTACAGCAGCGGCATGAGAGCAAATGCTAGAAAAGTTGGCCTGTTGAAAAACCCAGCCACAGTTACAATTGCTATAAGGCAGCTACTTGTCGGCCCTTYTGAGCTGCCACCAGACCTTCTTGAGGAAACCAGAAGCATCAGAAGAGCAAACAGAAGTCCTTCGAGCGCATTGGCAAAAGTCCTCGTATAAAACACCAGTGTGACATAGGATCCAGCAAGAAGTACCAGCGCTTTCCATGGATCTGCTTCCCAGAAAGGAGCTAATTGATACACACTGTAGTCAAGTATGAAAGAAAAGATTGTAAAGAGCAGGCGAGGTGATACAAGAAGGGTGTAGCTGTTGATGCAACCTGACCATAAGTCCAGCTGCTGCAAACACTTGATCACCCAGTAGGTAACTCCAGAGGTCATTAATGGGAAAACAACTGTTCTGCAAGGAGAGCTGGAAAGGAACTCCCAGGGGTAATACACCTGCAGGTTTAAAATATCTCCTATAGAGAGAAGGAGGAAAAGAAAAAAAAGAGCATAGTATAGTRGATTTTATTCAGTAAGAAATCACATATATTAGGGATACAGTTGAGGTGAGATGAGGGGCATCATGGTGCACAGCAGTCTAAACTTTTGAGACTGCCATCAGCCTTAATATTTTTAGGAGTTTTGCATTAATATTTATAAAGCTTCAAGGGAAAAAAAAAATAAGGTCAAASTGATCTAGGCACCATGTACTAAGGTGAGAGAAAAAAGCAACAGAAAGAAAGTCACCTAGAATTTTAGATCCCCTACAAGGTTGTTCACAAAAACCACTTTGTAACTAAAAGGGAGTATAAACAAGGCTGGTCAGTTCTTCAAGTTAGCCATTTTCTAAGCAAATCTCTACTTGACATTTATAGTATAGGACTGCAGGTATATCTAAGAAATGATGCTACGCTGTGCATACAGTGCTACATATTTCAAAATGCAGCTTTACACTGTTTCAGCACGTATGTTACAAGGGCTGCCAGTGCAGACGTGCCCCAGAGCAGGTCTGTTGCACAGTTCTCGGGGCAGGGCTGCAGGCCGGCCCCGCACACAGGGCCGTGTCCTCGCACAGCTGCCGGCCTTGCATGCCAAGCCAGCACGCAGGACACRTGTGCCTGCCCCATGTGCCCCGTAGGTGCCCCTGTAAGCACCCCGTAAGCGTGCTGGCTGCATGCACCAGGGAAGCGCCCGCTGTGTGTCCTGGACTGGCACACTGGCTGTGCGTGCCAGGTAAGCAAAGGGGGTGTGAGCGCCAGGTTAAGCGCGCTGACCGCACACACCTGCTGTACGCACCCATCAGGTGTATGTGGTAAGCGCACCAGCATATGTCGGGGCTCCGTGTCCCRCACTGGCATACAGCCTATAGGTACAGCTGTGCACACGTATCACCCGAACCTACCATGCGAGCACGCTGGCTGTGTGAGTGGCCAGGGGCACCATGAGCGCTCGGCCACATGCACCAGAGCAGTGCACAGGCTGTGGGTACCCACTGTGCATCCCCTCCAGCACGTAGCTACAGGCACTGGGGCAGTGCAGGGACTGTGCACATTCACCGTGCCTCCCCACGAGCGCAGTTACATGCACTGGCACCCCCCTGAGCGCACAGCTACGTGCACCAGAGCTGTGCATGCGCTGCTTACACCCACTGTCCATCCTCACAGCTGTGCACCGGAGCAGTGCGACTGCTCCATGCACCCCCTGTGCATCCCCGAGC